TTCACTGCAGCGTTAGCTTAGTTTTTGAAGCCTGTTAGCGCCCTACTGTTAGCATGTGCCTAAATGAAGTACCTTTAATAAACATGTTAGCATGATACTGTAATTAATAATATCACTCAATCATTTATGTAAACAAACAACATCAGAAAACTTAAAAAACTTCCTGTCAGTCTCTGTGGGATTAAAGCAGGTTTTGAATAAAATGCTAAAATGTTTTTTGCTTTGAATGTTGATGGTAGGGTTACATTGTGTTTACATTTGGAGTCTGCCTATTACAGGATCTGTCAGATTACCACATTAATATGATGAAATCATTCTGGAGCAACAAGTTTAACAACCAGTTTAATTGTTGAATCCACAAATGCCTCGCATCTTTCCCTCTACTGTGGCACAGAGAAAACAGAAGCTTTATGAAGCCACAAGGAACATTTCAACATTGCAATGTGTTTCTGTGGAAAAACATCCATAAACCAGCAGCACGCCCTCCTCCCGCCTGCTCCCACATTCATTCTCTGCTGACTGAAGCACTTTTCAGCTCAAACATATCAGCAGTCCAGCAGATTGTGTCATCACCTCCGGCCTCGAAGGACACGTGTTAATATGTGGAATAAAAGGCCTCACCGTCCTCGTAGGGCGTGTACTCCACTCTGTACGTCCCGTCGCCTTTGTCCGTGATGTAGGCGTCGGTGTTGGCGCCGGATGGATTGGAGATGCAGGCTTTGATATGGCTGCCGCCACTCTTATAGTGAGCCCGGGCGTCCACTGTGAAATGGGTGGTCACTTCCCTCAGGACGCCTGCAGAGAGGAAACCAACACGTAATGAGAGAAGAAAACAACAATACCGGAAAGTAAACCTCAGTACTTTTTGAATGAGAGACAACCAGAATTTGACTTTCTTGCAGCATCAACAAAACAAAACAAACTGTAATAAAGTTTGAAGCAGCTGAAGCAAGTTAAAGGTAGCTGTGAGCTAGCCACAGCTAACCTTAGCTAGAGAAACATTTACACTTGTTTTCCAACCTGTTTCCTGTCATTGAAAAACCTATTTTGATGTAAGTCAGTTTGTTAGCCTGCGTAAATGACACAGCAGTCTGTTTTCCAGCCAGCCAGTATTTCCCCACTGTGAACCTAGGAATGTTGAATACATCAGTTTTCTGTTAGAAATGTTTAGTCAGAATCTCCAGCATTGACAAACTGACAGATGCTAACCTGCATATGTTAGAGAATTGGCATAATTAGCATTATTAAGATTCAAGATTCAAGATTCAAGAGGTTTATTGTCATAATCAGCTATACAGACAATATCTCAGCAGCTGATTGGTTGATTTGGACAATATAGGAGATTTTGGGGTTATTGAGGACGCTGAATCCATTTCTGACATTTTCAAAGTGAAAATATTTCAACTCCTGGTGGGCTGATTGTGATTCATTTTGAAGTTATTTATATTCTTTATACATAAATGCAGAAGCAAAGACATAGGTCAATGGAAAAAGCTGCGCAGCAGAAAAACGGCATCAGAAGTGAAGAAATATGACTTTCATTACATTCACACGAACAATATTTCTTGATTGCAAAATGCAGGTCCAATGTATGAAGCATCGATAATATTTCTGTCACAAAGGGAAGCTAAATGCAACATGTTCATCTATAATGAGCCCAAAATAGAAAAAAAAAACAATGAGAGAAGTGTAGCCTACAAAACCGCAAATGTGCTTCTGTGAGTTTATTAACTGTGATAATTGACTCTGGAGAAGTCCAGGAGGCCAGTAAATAAACCACTGAGGGCTGACTCACACTGAGCAGACTCCTAACCAGATCACACAGTCCCTTCATCGTAAAAATAGACCTCAGAACAGCAGTTTGGAAACTATAGTTCAACAATGTGTGGCTCTAAACCAGAGCGTTTACTCACATTAGTCACACATTTTTCTGTTCTGAAAGGAGCCAAATTTGCTCTCACTAATTGTCCATTATGGATAATTAAGGTAAATTGAGGTAATTAGGGTGCGAAAGAAATTCAACAGTGGTGAAAGACGTGTACCCCTGCCTCAAATTCTTACTTTATTAATTAATGTACAAAATTAAACTTGATGCAGACTTTAAAGGTGTTTTCATTGGTAAATTAAAGATTAATTAATGGTATTTTAGAACTATGTAATATATCTGGTGTCAGGTATGATGGATTTATAGAAACCCAGCTCTACCACCTTGTAACTGGGTAGAATAATATCTTTAATCCCTCACCTCTGGGTTCCACTCCTGGTCCATAGACCTTCACCCCGCTGGTGTCGACAGCGGGGTCCACCTGTAGTCGGGTGGGGAACTTTGGCACTGCGTGTCCTCCATATTTGATGGTGATGGTGTACATGCCGTGGAACCGTGGGATGTAGGTAATGGAGTAGGTCCCGTCGCTGTTGTTCTGGACGTGAACTTTGGCTTTGGCTCCGGAATCTGAGATGATCTCGATGGTGAGCTCGGCCTCTCCGGCTTTAGAGCAGTCCACCGTGAAGGATCCGTCTTCGTTGACTTTCCCTCGCTCCAGGCCGGGACCACTGGCCGTCACCTTGCTGGGATCAAACACCGACTGGACCACGGCCTTGAAGGGGGACCCGGGGATGTGCTTGTCTGCAAACAGGATGTTGATGGCGTACTCGCCGGGCTCAGTGGGCAGGTACGACACAGAGCAGGAACCGTCACCGTTGTCCTGGCATTCGATCTTAGCCTCACAGGGTCCCTCTACCGTCAGGCCCAAACCACCAGTACCAGCTCCCTTTGTGTCAATGGCAAAGGGGGCCGGTTTACCCACAACACCACCCTGAAGACCAGGGCCGTAGGCTCGAACCTGGAAGGTAAAAAGAGATGAGACACAAAGACATGTTGAAAAGGTTTGATAGAAGAAGTTAGCGTATAATCAAAGGTTTGGAGCTAATCAGTTGCAACATAGATGGATTATTGAATAAGTATTGAACTTGTAAATCTATAAACCTGGGTCCAAGAACAGCAGACCAAGGGAGGGTAATTTAGAAAAGTTTATCTGGTCCCAGAAAAATATATTTGGACCCAGAAAGATTTACTTGGATCAGGACTGCCAACCATCTAGTGAGTTTATGGACTCTAATTTTTGCCTGTAACAGCCCGAATTAAGTTCACTATCGATGCAGGAAATGGATACACAATATGATGCTTCTAGATCTTTTACATGTGGACAATTGCAAAGGATTTGCAACAAAAAACAGATTTTTAAAGATAAACGCTGTTAATTAAGTATAATTCTGAAGTGAAAGAAGCCTTAAGGAAAATGTCTTTACAGTAACTCACCTTTGAAGGGTCAGGTGGCATGACGCCCTCCACAGTGAACGGACTTCCTGGTACGGGGTTTCCGTCGTAGCTGATGTCCACTCTGTACGGCCCTTCCTCAGGGGGAATGTACTTCACCGTGTGCACCTCATTGGCTGTGCCCGACTCCAGCTTGCAGGGGATTGGACGACGTGATGGTGAGGTGATTTTGACGTCCAGTTTGCCCTGACCTCCAGCACCCTGAGTACTGACAGAGAACTCCTCATCCTTCCCAACGTCCACCTCTTTGATTCGCACACAAACACAGATACAAAAGCAGTCTGTTTAGTTAATGCTTACTAATTTTTTTAATACCAACACATATTTGTAGGTTATTTGTGAGAATTAAATGCAATTTGCAACAACTTTCCTTAAATAAACAAGTCTTGGTACACAACATTACTTTAGTATTTGCAAGTATGGGAAAACATCTTCTGAGGAACACTTTATCCAAGACCAAAGTTTTGTGTTTTCCTTGGAGACAAATGCGACCATCAAAGTCCGTCCACTAACAGTAGTTGTCGTTGCCACTGACAGACTCAGATTGTTATTCTCAGTGTCTGACAGCATCATTGAAAGGATCCCTACAGAGACTGACCTTTAGTTTCTACTGCTGCTCCATCAGTCAATGTTATTGTGTGACTTTTGTGTTTTTAAGTTCACATCTGAACTAACCCTTCAGTTGTTTGGAAGGATTATGTTACAGCCTGTTTCACTGCTACTGGCTGCAACGCTCTCGCTAGTCATAAATACTGAAGTTTCCCTTTAACCGGAACTTGACTTCCTGTATGATAAAATGTTTTCTCATTTCCTCAAGTAACAACCAGCAGTGCGAATGTACTCACTGTTGTTCAAACCCTGAACTTTGACCTTGTTGAGGTCCAGCGGAGGGGCCACACTGATGTTAAATGGACTTTTGGGGATGGGGTCTCCTCCGTGACACACAGTGATGGACATGTTCCCCTGATGGAGACACAAACCTCAGTTAACATCAGTTTATTTATCAGCTCACACTTTATAAATCAAAGTGTTTTCTGACCTGCTGGATGCCGGTGTAGCGGACGGTGTACGAGTAGTCGTGGTTGTCGATGATCTCGAAGTCTCTGACCGCTTCACATTTAGCTGCTCCAGTGAAATGAACCTCAGGTTTGGCTTTACCGGCTCCCTTTGTGTAAATGGTGAAGTGAGTCGGTTTTCCAACTTCAACACCTGGAGAGAGAAATAAAAGAAGTTTAAATACAAATAATCTGGAGGTTATTACAAAGAGAATCACTACAGTGAGTAATGGAGTAAAAAGTACACTTGTCTCTGAGATACAGTGGAGTAGTAGTATTTAGTATAAAGTAGCATAACATGGAAATACTTAAATAAGTTAAGTATCTTAGTGAAGTTGTACTTTTCAACCAGTAATTCATGTAACATCATGTTGCGAAATCAGCTCACCTGTCTTGTTGATTCCAGGTCCCTCTGCTCTGACTTTAGCTGCATCATGGGAAGGATCCACCTTTATTCTGAAGGGGCTGATGGGAATTTCCTGTTTTAAAATGAAAGGTGAAGTTTAATGTCTTGTTTAAACAGGTTTAGCAGAAGCAGTTCACCTGTCTCCGCTCTCACCTGGTCGGCGAACAGCACCATGATAGTGTACTGGCCGGCACCTGGAGGTGTGTACTTCACCGTGAACGTGTCGTTATCGTTCTTGATGATATCAAAGTCAATATCGGCCTCTGCAGGACCAACCACACCTGGAGCACACTTGATCCCAATGCTGACATCGCCTACAGGTAATGACAGTAGCAATATGAAAATTTGTGAAATAAAAGCAAATATAATCTGTAAAACAACATATTGATAGTAATGTAATGGAAATAACAGGTTAAAAGACATGAAACAGTTGATAGATTTTGATGTCCCACCCTGTCCGGCCTCGCTACAGTCCACAGTGAAGTATGTCGGCTCGTTGGCCTTCAGTCCCGTCTTCTCCACACCTGGACCGTAAACCTTCACGTTCTCTGGATGACTGCCTTCTCCTATCGTCACCTGGTCCCCAATATACAATGTGGATAAATAGTTAAACAATTACCACCAACAGTATTAATTGTCATTTATTTACTGTTAATTTTACTCCTTTCCAGTGGTAGTACCTCATGGTTCTTTATTTGGTCCTCTGTTATTTACATTTCTATGTTGATGATGTGCAACTATGTGTATCTGTGAAATAGGATCTTATTTTCAGTTTTCAAATGACGTTAGCGTTCAGTAATGTTTTTTTTTCTCACAGATTTAGCAGTACACATATTGGTTTTACCGATTAAACCTGTACTGGCGTACATGTGTCACTGTGTTTTCTTACCCTGAAGGGGCTATTGGGGACGTTGACTTCACCCCAGGTGATGATGATGGTGTGTTTGATGGGTTTAGTGGGAATGTAAACACAGAAATAGGTGCTGTCTCCGTTATCTGTGATCTGTATGTCGATGGGGAAACCCTCTGCATCCTGGAAGCACAAACACAGCTTTAATTTATCTCTAATCAAAATCACATCGTTAGTAGTGGTGGAATGTAACTAAAAACATTTACTTCAGTACAAATTTGAGATATTTGTACTTGAGTATTTCCATTTTATGCTAATTAAAAGATTTTAATGTAGGACTTTTAATTGTTGTGGAGTATTTTCACAGCATGGTATTACTACTTTTACTTAAGTAAAAACTCATCACACAAAAAAATATTATTTGATGAGTTCTCACCTGAGCGTAGAGCCTCAGCTCTCCTCTGCCAGCTCCATGAGTATCAATGGTAAAATCAGCAGGTTTGTTGACGATGCAGCCCAGCGGCTCCAGACCTGGACCGTAACATTTCACCTGAGGACGGGAGGATATATATTCAACACGTCATGTTTAATAGTAAAAGACCTGTGAAGTGGGTTTAAAATCTAGGAAGTTCTGGTCTCACGTTTTCTGGGAAGACGTCATTGGCAGCAGGCAGGATGTGGGCCATGAAAGGACTGTCCTTGATGTCCTCGTCATCACATATGACATGCACAGCGTAGTCACCCGGTTCAGTCGGCCAGTACCGAACATCGCATGACCCGTCACCTTTATCGTCGCACTCGATCCTCGCCTGAGAAGGACCCTCGATGGAGAAACCTGCAGACAAACAGTGACACAAACTACATAATATACCACTCTTTTTGACCATAATTAGCATTTGTAAGCAGATCTTTCTCTCTCTCTCTCTCTCTCTCTCTCTCTCTCTCTCTCTCATTTGTCTGTGCAGTTCTACATATATTTACAAAGACTGTAGCCAGTGGAGTACCTTAAGGTTCTATATTGGGACCTTTATAATTCTGTATCTGCATGTCACTACTTGGCCAAATAAACCACAATAATCTGTTATTTACATTTCTATGTTGATGATGTGCAACTATATATATCTGTGAGATAGTATTCTGTAAGCAAAACAAATAAATATTCATATTTAGAAATACTTCTTCCTAAGCTGTTTATTTGGTTATTTGCTCACTTTCGGCTCACCACCTGCCCTCTTTTGGTTTAGGTGTATGTGCATATTCATGCATATTGCATCTTTAAGCCCAGCCCTCAAACAGCTGTCAGTCTTTCTGAGCAGCAGGTGAGAGTTCTGATTCATCCTTTGTGACGTACCGAGTGTTCCCACCTCCGTGCCGATGGCCTCCACCACAAAGTCAGCGCTCTTCCCCACCATACCGGTCTCCAGACCTGGACCCCAGGCCCTCACCTTCTGAGGCCCCGCCTCCTCACTCACCTGAACCTCGAATGGACTGAAAACACACACACACACACACACACACACACACACACACACACACACACACACATTATTATAAACTCCAGAAAGATTGAAATTAAATATAATAAACATACATTATTATTACATTATTACTATTGTCCAAATAAGACATTTAAGTATGTCACCTTATATTTATTTATATCAACACTTTTTAATATTTTCCTAATAAAGAATTAAACAACTTACAGTCATGGAAAAAAATTATTAGACCACCCTTGTTTCTTCAGTTTCTTGATCATTTTAATGCCTGGTACAACTAGGTACATTTGTTTGGACAAATATAATGATACAACAAAAACAGCTCATAAGAGCTGATATCTAGCCATTTTCCATGGTTTTCTTGATAATAACCAAAATCACTTAAGTTCTTACATCAATAGCTATGGCATTGTACTGCCAAAAACAGTGCTTTTAGGCATTCCATGTTTTCTTTTCTGTCTGTTTTAGTCACATGATACACACAGGAGTTAGTACTTGATTGCATAACCATTGTTTTTGACGACTGCAGCCATGCGTCTTTGCATGCTCTCCACCAGCTTCTGACATTGTTCTGCTGTCTCAGCAGCCCGTTCCTGTTGCAAAAATTCAAAAAAATTTGCTTTGTTTTTGGGCTTGTGGTTCTCTATTTTGAGTTTGATGATGTTCCACAGGTTTTAAATTGGATTTAGATCTGGTGATTGAGCAGGCCAAGGCATGGTTTGAATGTTCTGGTTCTCCATCCAGGCTTTAACTGACCTTGCCATGTGGCAAGGGGCATTGTCTTGTTGGAAAATCCAGTCATTCGAGGCAGGAAAGAGTTTATCAGCTGATGGAAGAAGACTGTTTTCAAGAGTAGCCCTGTACGTGACCTGGTTCATTCGCCCTTCACACAATTGCATTTGCCCTGTTCCACCCATACTGAAACAACCCCAGATCATCACCGATCCACCCCCATGTTTTACTGTAGGGGCAAGACAGCTTCTTCCGTGCCCTGTGTGACTTCAGACCAGCTTTGAGAAGTTGGTTTCGAACTGCCCTTGCTGAACAAGTCACATTTCTCGACAGTGCCCACTCATTTTTAAGGTCCCTGGAGGTCTGACGACGATTCACGACACAGGAACGGATGAGTGCACATCTTCATCTCGTGGGGTAGAAAGACATTTCCTGCCTCGACCAGCTAGCAATTTGGTAGTACCATGTTCGGCTTGCTTTTTCTTGGTGTAATGAATGATGTGTTTTGGAGATCTTCAGTTTTTTGGCTACCTGTCTCTCACTCATGCCAATTTCCAGAAGTGCCAAGATGGCTGCCTTTGTGGCTTCACATAATTCTTTTTTTTAGGCATTATGTGAGAGCTGACAAATTTTGAGTTGTGCTACGGCTTGAATGTAAGCAGGAAACCACTCTAGGCCTTTGCATGTGCAGTGCTGCTTATGACATGAAATGGCCTCTTATATACCCTGCGAATACAATTAAGCTTAAGCATGTCAAATAGGACATAAAGTATTATGGAATCAGCTGCATTTTTTGTCGTGTTCATTTCATTCTTCAGGTAATATACCTTTAGTGGTACCAGGCATTAAAATGAACAAGAAATTGAATGGTAAATGGACCTGTACTTGTATAGCGCCTTTCTAGTCTTCCGACCACTCAAAGCACTTTTACGCTACGTGCCACATTCACCCTTTCACACACATTCACACAGTGATGGCAAAAATGCACGGCATCGGGAGCAATTTGGGGTTCAGTATCTTGCGCAAGGATACTTTGACATGTGGCACCAGGAGCCGGGGATCGAACCCACAACCTTCTGATTAAGGAACGACCCGCTCTGCCTCTGAGCCACAGCCGCCCAAATTGAAAAGAACAAGGGTGGTCTAATTTTTTGTACATGAATGAATTATTAGATGAAATTACCGTGCACTGTATGTTAAAATATTCTGAACTGAATAAAAGTAAGGTTTATATATATAGAGAGTTGTATGTGAGCAAGTCACTTTTAATGGGTCATCATAATCTTTAAAAAAACACTAACTTAATTTTCTGCCTTACATGTTCCTGTGGTCTGTGTAAACCACTCAAGTACCTCAAAGTAACTTAATCGGTGTGATAACTAACGATGGAGAAGATCAGCTGAATATCTCACCTGCGTGGGATACTGTGTCCTCCCCAGGTGATGGTTATGATGTATTTTCCTGTCATGATGGGGTAATAATTACACTCATACATCCCGTTTTCCATCTCAAGAACCTTCACCGGCTCCTCCAGGCCCTCTGGATTCAAAGTAAAGATATCACACACAATCAGTACTGCTCATTGTGTACAGTGAAAGTGCATCATAAACCAAAAGACAGGTTTAAAAAGGAGAAATTATTATTTGTCTAGGCATCTTACTTGGTCCCTTCACTGTGACTTTGAGCTCCCCACTGCCGGCTCCTTTAGTGTAAACTTTAAAATCTGCCACTTCTTTCACCCTCAGGCCCTTCGGCTGCAGACCTCTGCCCGACGCCCTGCAGGCATTCGGGTTACAGGCTGTGAGGAACAATCAGAAGATGTGGGTTAGATGGCGGGATGATGTTAAAATGATGAAACAAAACATTCACATAAACATCCACTCATGTTTTTCTAATTCCTAAGTACATCAAACCCTGAATAAAGACATCTGTCCAGTCCACACTGAATCTGACTTCTGTTTTGAGTTCAAACAAGCCTCAGCAAACTGTTTCCTAATGAGTTTAGGTCTCAATCTAGTCTAGTCTTCTTTCATACAGCATGAAATTTATGTAGTAAATGATGGTCCCACTTAGAGTAAAATAGACAATAAACCAAGGAATGCTTTAAGGCAGAGCTACCTTGTGACTGACAAACCTAAACTGTGAACTTTTCTCTCATTTTGACTCTCTAAATCTAAGATTTAATTCTAACTCCTAACCCTTAATGTAAAAGAGAGGATTTACCAAAATAACTATACATCACAAAATGTCTCAAATTAAACATAGTTAAACCAAACAGACAGGCAGACGGCTGCAGGTTTGTCTCTGTTAGTCAGCAGATCAGTGCTGAGAGAAGCAGTTTGCGGAGGCTGAAAGGAAAAAGCAGCAAAGATGAAGACAAGATGAAGGAAACAGGATTATCTGTCTGGAGGACGAAGAGCTCAGAGCTGCAAGTTTGTGACTTCAGCAAGAGAAAAAGAATGAAACATAAATAAAACATAAAGGCAAAATGTACACAACTTTGGTTTTGAGAGAAAACACTTAAAAAAGTCACTGTAGTTCTCAGCTTTAGAAACATATATATAGAACATCAAAACAGACAAACAAAAAAGAAAAAGGAAAGGTGAAGCAGATGATAATGAGGAGAATGATGGGGGCCATTATACAAAAAACAAAAAACATCTAAATGGTAACATTCACTCTCATTAAATGTATGGGAGGGTCAATGTATGTGCCGTTAAAATTCTGTTAGTTTTCACTGTTTTTCTAAAGTTTTATCAACATTGTTACTGTAATTAGTAGTTACTTT